CTATAGCACAATATTACTCCATGAGACTATAGCACTATACCTCTATGAGACTATAGCACTATTCCTCTATGAGACTATAGCACTATTCCTCTATGAGACTATAGCACTATTCCTCTATGAGACTATAGCACTATTCCTCTATGAGACTATAGCACTATTCCTCTATGTGTCCCTGTGTGTCTGATGAGTAGACAACAGTACATGTATAAACTTCATAGAGTATATCAATCTTTCATTATTATGATTTGTACAAGAAAATTGTCTAACTGTTAAAACAAGCAAATCTGCAATTTCTTTCTAAATAAATAGTTTGGTTGATCTATTGTTTTAGTTTCTAATTAAACAGACTCTAAGCTGCAGTGAAAGTGATCATCTGAGAAGTGTGGATTTCATATTACCTTTGAATGATGATACGCCCCCACCCCCCCCCCCCCAGTACCCTGACTATTTTTTCTGTCGCTTCATTGTGGTCCCACGATCAATTCTTTTAAATGTAAAAGATGTGAAAAAACGTAAAAGTACTATCATGTGCATGTAAACAAACTCACGAGTTGCGATACAAATTATGGCCACGATAAAAAAATAAAAATAATACATCAAAAATACGTAAAAATTCAAACACCTGTCAGGCCCATTGATCAAACACTTAATACGACAGAAGTCCCGCAAATAAAGTCACTTGTTATGTAAAACTACAAGGCTTCACAAGTTTTAAAGCACCTGCTAAAAAATTAACTAACAAATTATTTCATAAATTTTAAATAGGTGAAGCATTGATCTAAAGATTCGGTCGCTTTTGATTTCGATTGTAGAAAGGTTATCCATTATTCATGCAAAGAAATAGCAAACTAGCTATGTTATGACTTTAAAACTTCAAGGAATATTTTGAGGTGAGAAACGTTCCCTAAATCATTATTCATAGTGCGTTATATGATATTTTTTCTGAGGCCTCCTATTGACAGATGCTGTACAGTTCTGTAAAATACAGCATGTTCCTAAATTATGTGCACTTGTATCCATTTGCAATTAATACGATCAAAGACAATGGTTTAAATAGAGTTGTTGCCCTTGGCTTGTTCCATTTCCACCTGTTTAAAGAAAACGCAACAGGTTACCTAAATGAGTAATGCAAGTGTCAACGCTTTAAAGCCAAAAGACAAAAAACTAGCATCTTAATTTAGTCAAAACAGTCTATTTCTGCATCTTGGTTTGATCTGATAACACGGTATTGCCGTGTACTAAACGGCCATTTGATTGATTTAAAGAGAGTTCGCTCGAAACACGTGTAAAGTCGTCGCACTAAGTTACAGGTAAAATCTTATTTATTGCACACATTTAATGCATGTATTAATGTGAAAATAAATCTAATAGCTGCAGACTTTAATCCCTTTTTACGAAATTTTGATGGCATCACGGATTTAAACCAGTTAACATACACATTTCCGTAAGTTTTATTGCCTTCCATTCAAATGTAGGGGATAAACTTTAAAAGAATGAAATGACCTAGAGCATTTTTTTTCAAGGATGAGAGAAAGCAAGCAAAATCTCATTGATACAGGAATATCAGAGAGATCCATTAGTCTAATTCCATCTTTAACGAAGAATTATGCGTAGATTATCTAATTCGACCTTGTGGTTCAAGCAATATCACCGAATTTACTCCCTTCATGTAAAAGTCTATATATTTAATTAACGCGAGTGTCTGAAAACAACAGAAAACTCTGCATGATAAGGCATAACTATGGCCATTCACTTTTGACAAATAAATATTTTGACAGGAGTTCAAAAGAGCCTAATTGCTGGTAATGAAAATCTTACAGAGAAACTGAGAGCTCTGTGCCAAATAGTACAGACTTCTAAACAGGGTTAATTATTTCAAAACAATAAAATGATGCTGAAAGTGCAGAGAAACGGTAAACGTAATTAATGTGGATCTAATTGCTACCTGCTGCAGAGAAATGGCGGGCTTTCTTGGTTTTAATTTTTAGGGGAAAAAATATGTAAGAATTTAGTAAATTTTCAAAAAAAAAAAAGGCAATAAAATATCGCCGCTTCTGATTTTTCGGCTGTTGTTGAGGGAAAATACGGACAGGTGTATGCATTGAAATTAACTTAGAATAAACAATATTTTTACAGATAGTTCAGCTGAAAAATTCAACAAACAAAATGATCGAATATGTATTTCATTGACAGATTGTGCCATCATTTTTATTTTAAAGTACTGAATGGGTGGAACCAAAAATTATTGTAACAAGGTCAAACATTTGTTTGTATATTTATGAAATTAAAAACATAGGGCAACATGACATTTGCTTTTAAAATATCACAAGGGCCATGCAATTTTGGGCAGTGTCTCACTAACATTGAAAATTACATATATCCACAAAAATATGAATCTGTGCAAAAAAAAATGTTAAAAAGAAAAAACACATTTTTTTTTAGATTATTGCAAGTCTTCTAGGGACTTGGGTAATTTTTTTTTTCTTATGCAGTAAAAAGAACGACATCGATACTAGTATTTTGCCCTGTATAGTTACTCACTAAGACTTTATGCGAAACATCGGTCTTCGACAAATTAATAGAATAAATTAATTTAAAAAAACAAAACAACAACAACAACAACAATGAAAAAAGCTCCTTTAAAAAGCATTGAAATTTAGAATTTATTATATTGAGTTTAAGAATGAATAAAATTTATGAAAGGTTTATTACCTAAACCTTTCTTTTCAAGCGTTAAATTATAGCAGTTAAATCTTTTTTATGGAGCGGGGTACGCGCGCACTACATTGAGGAGAGAGAGAGAGAGAGAGAGAGAGAGTCTGGTTTCTATAAATCAGTTCTACTATCTGTCTGGTGCCCAGTGAACACACCCCAGTAAATACGACCTACCTTGGTGTGTTCAGCTAAGATTGATGTAATGGCGGCTAGGTAAACGTTAAACAGATCTACAGCAAAGCATCGGCATAACGAAGATGTATCCAGACAATTTATTACGTTAGAGGAAATCGACTACACTTATCTGTTATTGCTAAAATCAGATCTGTAACGGCTCGTCTTCATTGTTTCCGATATGCGACAAGACAAGGCAATGTTGGAGTTTTGTTCTTTATGTCTTTCTTTAGAGAAAGGGGGGCGTCACGGAGCGAAAGAGCAACACGTCAATGTTAAGCGGGTTTTGAACATCGTTAGGAAATGTTTCAAGGTGTGTGATCGACCACAGAGAACATTATTTTCATCGCCAAGATGTGTGTAGATTTCTCATCTCTTTCCATTGTCAAAACAAATCACCTCTTCTCGTAAAACAGGGGGGTAAAAACTCCTAGCTGTACTCTTGAGTAATGAATTGCTTGAACACCGTCATCCAAATGAAGCCCCTTTTTTGTCAAATAGGTATAAGTACTGAAACAAATAAAAATGTCGTATTAAATTAATAATGTTATCCATCAAAACCGGAAATGATGTCATATCGATGAAAAATGCGTGACGTGACGTCAACACCACATGACTTATAGCCTGGTTCCCAGTTCCTGTTTTCTTTCGTGTACTCTGCGTTAAGGATGAGCCAGGGGACCAGACTGTACATGACTTATAACTTGTCTTTACAGAGAAGCGATTTCATATCAAATTTGTGTTTGTATAGAATGAAAAACATCATAAACCATGGATTTTCTCTCTTTGTCTCTCAAAATTCATTCACACACATTACGGGTTAAAAAAAAACAGTACTTAAAGCTTACAGCCCCTCCAATCCACCCAAAGTAAAAGAGGTTCTGAACGGACAGCGTTTCATTTTATCCTTCAGTATTCTAAAATTATGAACTCTTAATTCAGAAACATTGCTTCAGTTGAAGAGAATGCTTTTAAAATAGCGCTGTCTTGGTGGATGCAACATCAGGAAAACAGATTGAGCAATATAACTGATCTATGATGATAACTAATAGATATTTTTAGAATTTATAATGTAATAAGCAAAACAATGGGTATAAAATTTTGATAGTGTATAATTATACTGCGTTCATAAAGGATAAAAATTTCATCAAACTCTTCTGACACAATTTCTATGAATTCTTTCACTGAAATTCAAGTCTTCACGTGACCACAAAAACACCATTTCCAGAATCCCCAACCCGAGGTCAATGTTTTCTTGAAACAATATTGGCAGCATGTTTGCACCATCTGAAACACATAAAATATAACCAAGAACATTCCTTCCGAATCCTATGCACGTGGAAATAGCCATGTTTCTTTATTTTCTTTTAACAAAATAAACAGATCCATCTTTCGAATACATAGGTTAATGTCAGTTGTGTTGAAATTTGCAATTCAACCACGCTGACGATTTTTGGCCCGCGGTTTAAAATTTTTAAATTGTTTGATCTTAATGTTGCAGTATTTTGATAGTAAATGCACCAATCGACCTTATTCGAACACCGCTAGACGGGGTCAGTAGGTCACAAAAGGTCACGTTTGTGTATTTTTTCTATTCAACATTCATATACATACATTACATCAATGAAGCATTCTCACTTTCGATACATGGTCTCGATTCAGTAAGACGTTTAATCCTCGGTGCCCAGTATTTGAAATATCAAGAACTAATTTTTTTTTATAAAGTTGTCAAACCTTAGGTAAACGTAAGATATTATTGAATGTAACAGGTGTGTGCTTTACGCAAGGTATTAAATCATGCTATTTTCCGCCATAAAAAATGTATAAAGTGTGTAATGCATACAATGAATGGCTTTTAAGAGCGATCTATCATATTTTATATTACAAATTTGATGCATTGTTCACATTCATTCATCACATGGACGGGGGGAACACATCTGAAGAATATTTCTTCCTCTATAAGATTGAGGTATTGTTTCTAGTGTGTATTGGGGTTGTTTTGGTTAGTTATAATGTTCCAGTGCCTGCTTACCCACTTTCTGCTCTTAGTATGGCGTGATATGAGAGTTTTTAAACAACATTTAAAGGATTATGGTAAAGAAGTTCAAAAAGTGTGAGATAGCGCAAAACGAATCCGGAATAATCGCAGTGATTAAGTTTTGAAGGAATTCTGCAAATTAATGCAAATTTTTGGCGAAAAAAAGAATAAAAATATAGCGATGCATCAGGAAAAAATTACATCCATCATAATACGTTGTACAAAGGCTATTTAAGCATGAAAAGTGTGCATGTTCTGAATGCATTGTAGTGCATATCTGTCTGGAATACATATTCTTTGGATGACAAGATTATCGCTAATCCGTGGATTACCTGGGAGGGTGAACTTTGAGTCGGTATTGATGGCACTATCTTATTCGCAGACAATAGCTGTTGAACGCGAGACGAAGTAGCTGGCATCTGTCCACGACGAAGGAACTACATCACGAGAGATTAACACTTTAATATATATATCTTATATGTTGATTCTTTTAAAAACTATTATCCCTTGAGTGAAATGTTTAATTCTTAAGATGTCGTAGTGAATCTTGACACATTTTATTGGAGGGGCTCATTAATGAAAAACAAATTGTCGTGGATGATATATCTCAATTTCAGCCCTGTATACACTTCGATTATAACTGTGGATTGCAATACCAGTGATTTAGTAGAAAAGGCTTTTGAGATTTTGTAATGAAAGTATTTAAAACTGTGAGCGGGGCTACGGATTTAGCTGATGCATTGACTGTAAGGTAGGTAAAAAGCAAAATGATTAACCAAGACGTGTTTGCTTATCGCGCCGTACAGCGGAGGCCCTTCATTGTTCGAAGACAGAATCGGCCGAGTTTTTTATGTTTAGTCTGTCGAAATCTCTCTTAGGAGTGCGAATGTACAATTGTCTTGGAATTCAACAAATTGCAGAATGTTTCAAAAGAGACTTCACCAGCGCAAGGAATTGCAATGCAATACGTATTTAGTTAATTGGAGGGTGATTTGCAATTTCAAGTTTTTTTTTTATTTGATATAGAATAATATAAGTATTGTATACATTTGCAGACAATGTAGTAAAACTGAATCTTTGGAGTTTAAAGATTTTTTACATTTTATTGATTGAAATGAAATATTACGTAAATAAAAATCAGGTAAATCACATGTCACGGCCGCGGGTATCAATAAATGTAGCTCAAGCTCACTTTTATAGTTTGTTTTGGATTTATGTATTTTTCTGGATTTTTTTTTAAATGTAAGCTGATTTTTTTTTTTCAAATTTCTGATTATTCTAGATCTGCTCTATTCTGATACATAATCACCTGTACGTGTATATATACCCGCTGTACGTATTAAGTGCCCCGGCATATTTATGAATGAGTTACTTGAGCAAATGGTTTTAAATCGTGTAGGTGAATTTTAACTTTATCAAGCAGATTTTTTTATTTACATTACCGAGATGAATGGTATAAAAAGAGAATCTTTTACGAAATAACAGATTAAATATGCGCATCTTATGTTGTAAAATAAAGATTAAAACGTAAATATTTTCCCCTTTTTTCAGGTTTTTATTATTTTTATATTTAAGTAGTTTCAGCTTAAAAGTTAATTCTTTCACGAAGCGCTGCAGATTTTTGTTGAATTAATCATATATTTAAAGTTAGTTCCTAGTTGTCACAAACACTTTGAAACTTTTTCCCAACAAATTAATCTCGGCACCGCCATATGACCAAAACAACTCTCAATTAAAAATGTTTACGACATGTGGTAACTTTTACGACAACCAGAGATGGTTCGAGTGTTATAATATGCGCAATTTGTCTAATTTTCGCGAAGTGCCCATTGCACTAAGAATATGTGAATACCAGGCATATTTGGTCAAGAGAAGGAGACAAGCATTTGGCGTGATTTGTTAATTAGCTACAGATTGTTAGTTTTGTTGATCTGTAGACGGCGTGGCTATTCCACGTAAGAGTAGCTACTCCATGTGAGAGTAACATGTTTCAGTTAATTGGAAAATATGAAAAACTCGATCTGAATGTATGTTTTCTATAACATTTTCTATAAATTCTTTTGCAAAGCATTCAAACTTGCAAAATCAGTATATAACGCCCTCGGCTTAACTTGTTTTAAACAAAAACATATATATATATTTTAAATTATTTTTTATTTAAACAGAGGTATTGTTTTTTTCCCCAAATTATTACGGTATGAATAATGCCTAAATTTTCTATAAAAATACGATATAATTGAGACTTAACAGAGATGTTCACGAAGTTGACTAAGCGTAGACGATAAGACATTTATATAAACAATCTTTGATTTGAGGTCAGGACCCATATTATATGGGGACTAGTACGAGCACTCCAAAATGCTTTGAAGAGCGTAAAATGTGTGATAGAATTCCGGCACCGCCCACACCCGCTAAATAGACTCTCTTCACTATCTCCCAGGTCAGATATAGATTTTATTTGACAAATGATAGTTTAGTAGTGTTAAGGGTTGAACTTTTATAAGGTGATAATTTTAAATGCGTCATATTGTCAATATTTTAGGCATCGTTTCACCTGCTATGTCAATGTTGGAGATGCTTGTATCCAGGGAAACGATAGATGGCGCTAAAGAAGCAGGGGCCAAGAACCATAACTTAGTGTTTCCGGTAAGTGATTATTTTTCTTTTGTCTGTTGATTTCTAATTTTCTTCGTGTTTTACTCATCAATCTAGGTAAAGGTAGAATAAATAATTTTCTTTGATGACTAATAAAGTAAGTATTAGATTTTAATGAGATGGGGGACACACTGATGGGAAGTGTCCACCGTACAAGTAATCGTGATAGCGGACCCAGGTACCACTTATCAACTAAATCTCCTTAAGGCGTGATTCTATTCTTTTGTATATAAAAAACAGGATTCTTAATTTCACTCCTTAAATGTAATCGCCACGGTTACTGGACGTAAAATCGACGGACATTGTCCAGTGAATTACACGCTTCTTTACGCGGATTATCTACTCGTTAAATACAACTTTTCCGAAAACGTATAAATACACACTAAAACTTTTTTCCATTCATAAGAAATAGACAACTCCTCGGGTTCGCCTCGGTTAAAACCATTGGCTTCCAAAAGGTATGACATTGTCAAATTAACTACCGTCTGTCGCAATTAATGAAACGTTATACTTTATATAGTTAATTTTGATATATTTTATCAATTTGTACAATGGTTCGTGTTTGTTTCAGATTCCTGTAATTTAATATTAAGGTAATTAATCATGTCTTTAATTACGTCTCTTGAGGTTAACGAAGTAAACTTTTTGAACGCGATTTAAAAACATCAGACAACAATTTGCATGTCATAAGAAATAAAATTTTAGCATGAAAAATAAATCAAAAATAACTATCTCAAAGATCTGTGAAAATATTATTAAAGTAATTTTATTTGATACCGTTATCAAAGACAAATCGAAGCTACGTGGTCCCAATACGATAAACACGATTCCAAGCGGTCCAAATTGTTTACATATTTTGTCCACAATCTTTAAAACACTGAACTTATATCCAGAAATAATGTTTAAACACAGGGGACCCAAAACGAATGAAATTTAAGTTATCGGGGAGGTTCTATCGCCTTGCGACGAAAGCAGGCACGTGGAAGTCAGCCAGGCACTGCCTGTCAGTCATTTCAAGACCTCCCTATTAAAATCATCCGAAACGATAATCTTATCAATATTTCTGCCCCCTTTTATACGTGTAACGCTAGGCTATGTTTGAATTTTGCTTATAACGATTTTATTCTTGTTGACCCGTAGCGTGAAACTCGATCTAGCGTTTTGGTTGTGGGAAAATATAAGAGAGAGAATAAAAAAGAGAGAAATAGAAGGGGGGTTACAAACAATAGTATAAGCACGCGCCATTATTGACATGTGTGTCTTAATCAGAGACGTGTTTTAGGATCAGAAGACGTGGCCAGGCTATTGTACTGAAGACAAGCATCTTTATTTAATATCTTTATGAGCCGTTACATACGCCCAGTAGCACTCTGATTAAAAATTTCCGTTCTGTATTAAAGGGAAGTGATTGTCGCAATAGTCATGACAGGTCTCTATGATTTCAGGAGATGACAGAGCAAGGGATTCTCAGATTTTGAATTTTGGATTATACTTTGGTGATGTGAAAAGAATATTTTACTGGACCTATGATTAATATTTTCTCGAGGAAGTATTTTGATCTTGGAAAGTTACAAAAGATGAAGGACTGTTTAATTAATAACTTATTATATAATAGGTGACAAAAAAGTGTTCCTTTCACAAATGAAAAAGAAAACTGGCTTCTCTCATCATTAGCAGAATATGGCCAAACTGACACTGCAAATTTTATCAGTGATGCAGATACTGTTATTTCTACCTCCGGTGCCTGGAGAGCGATTTTTCCAATTTCGAGATCATTCGGATCAAAATAAATACAACCGTGAACAACATAGGACATTAATTCACAATAGGAAAGAGGCGGAGGTAAGATTTTATTACATATTTATTGTCAAATTATTTTTTTCTGTCTATGATAAAAATTATACCTTTTACCTATTTTACTCAATATATTGATGTAATATAAGTGTTAACCTGGTGATATTTGAAATTTAAAATCAAAATACATATTCCAAAGTGATAGTTGAACTTGTAGACAGTATTTGTGACAGGTTTATAGCTTAAAAAAGAGTGAATATTTGATTTCACAAGAATAAAGTCAACATTCTTGGGCGAACATATATACCTTATTCGTGGTAAGGGTTAGCAGCTACTTCATTTGAAGTGTGAAAAAACTGTAAAATATTCAATTTACAAAAGATTTTCGAGCCAGACATTCTTTTGAATTTAGACACCACAGAGTGAGAAATAACCCAATACCCTACTGTGGAGGTCGATCCGTCTAAATCATTACATAACAATACGTAGCTAGAGTGACAGGACCATTGCGTGCAAAACTTATTCTGATGCGGGTAGTATGCAATAGGAGATGGTTACAGACAGTGCATAACGTGATGCGGTCTACAGCGTAAAATGCCAACACAAAATATCAACTGCTGGACGCTACATACTAGCCTGTATCACCTTAAGAAAAAAACCACCCTCAGTTTGAAAATTTGGGATTTAAATAAATGTTTTGACATTTTTAAATATACAAAGGAAACTATAGCAGTGTAAGGTTGCAATACACGTAACAGAAATGGAGAAATTCATAACTGAAGACAATTTTAATTTACTTATACATGTAAAGATGCCATCGATTTAGTAAAAAAAAAATAGAGTTATCTCTCTTTGCTGATGACCCTTCCACCTTAAAGTTTTTAATTCCGTGTAACTCAAAGAATTTCAAAATTTTTAATGATGTAATCAAAATGCAACTTTCTAGATGAGATTTCCACTGATATATTTAATCCTTTCATGTCGCACCTGCCGGAGACAATGTACGTTTTATTTATAAATATTCTAATTTAAGGAACGTTTGTAGATAAATATTTGTTAAAATAAACTGGGCATTGTCCATAACATATAAAGATAGTCAAGATTTGATTCGTGTCCTGAAACAGCACGGAATTTATTGATATCGTCCGAGATCCAGTCTGAACCTATAAACAAAGAGGTGTAGGTAAAGGGCGTTTTTATGAGAAGGCAGGTTCATGACCGCCGGAAACCCAAACATTCTAATGAGCGACTACCACCTCGCCTAATGGAAGGGTTTCTCTTGTTTCCGTTTGTATCACTCGGTGGACGGGATGGAAGACGTCACGCCGGGAACTTTCATCGCCTGCTAAAAAGATGAGACGCACACACACAAAAAAGAAAGAGATGTGTATAGTCTTAAAAAACTTCTAAACGTATGACTCAAGCTTGCAACAATTACCCCTTCTAATCCCACGTTTCTCCCAGCGTGAATAAGGGAGGCAGGTACAATGTGTCCATTAAAAGCCCCATTGACGGTGACCGGGGTATTAATTTAAAACAGATAAATGTGAATGGGGGATGTTTTAGCCTCCCCGATTATCACCTATCCCAGTAAACATCATTACGTTACTATCTAGGTGAATAGGGGTCACGACCTTTAGTTTGTAGTCCCCAGGTCAATACCTTGTCCTAGAATACAACTGATCCCGAATTTATTTATGTTTTATTACAATTAAATGACTTGTAATTTATATACTTGTACATTTTTGGTAATATACAGTCAATTAAAAAAATATATTCAATGTGTTTCATACCATTTTCGGCAATTGCACTGTACAATTGATAACAATTGAGTCAAACTTCAGAATTTCTGCCTTTCAGATATTGTAAATTTATGTTAATCTGATCTGCGTGCTATTAGTGCGACTGTTATACAAATCTTTTATTATCTGCATAATAACTGTGCTTAGAAACTCAGTTTTATGTCATATTATTTTTGCAGATTCAGCTTGAAAAATATGGTTACTTAAAATGTCGAGTTTTAAGAAGGCGTCGGTCAGCGTTAATGGACGTGGTTATGGAGGGAATGCACCCTCTGTCGGATAAAGAGGTGGAGGAAGATCTTCCATTGTGTAGTGCTTCTCAAGTCAATACGGCCATCAGAGACTACCAAATCAAATACAAACTTCCGGTCACAGGAATTTTAGATGACGTCACAAGAAAATTCATGAGTACGTCACGCTGTGGTAACGCTGATAAAGATTCTCCGGAAGAGCATGCGTTTCCGGATGTTTTAGAAGAAAGTGACGATAACTTGTATGATTCCAATTCTCAAACTTCATTAACAGAGCCCGTCAACAGGCGGCGCTGGCGTCGACACGCTGCCCAGACGAGGCTAATGAATGTTCTTACTAGTGATTCCGTTCGAAATAAAAATATGTTACGACGGACGAAATATATTAAAGAATATGCTGAAAAATACAAAAATGATCTGTTGATACCATATACTGTAGAAGAACGACAAAAACGTTCAATTATAGCAACTATTAGAAATAATTCTTTAAACGGTGAACCCGTTTGGGATGGACAGAAATTCACGAAGAACTATATTCGGTGGCGGATGTTGAGGGATGGGTTCAGTACCCGGATTCCGGTGGAAGAGCAGAGAGCGAGCCTCCGTCTGGCATTTAGAATGTGGAGCGAAGTGATACCGATTATATTCGAGGAAGATGTTACAGGGGATATTAACAGTGTCGACATTGAGATTGCTTTTGGAAGAGGTAATTTATCAGTCAGTTTAACTCCTCTATACCTGTACACCCTCTCTCTCTCTATAAATATTAATCCATTGGATAATCTCCAAATACTTAACTGTTATGCTTTATTTGAACTCTGCATACTGAATTGTAACAATTATTAATTATGTTGTTTGGTGGTGGTCTACTTAAAGAACGCGGAAATTAAATGGGCCGCAGAGAATGTAAATGTAAACACACGGATAGCATCTGTCATACACGTTATGGGGACTAGATTTATACCATACCGTATAATATCTAGGTATGGAGCGAATAGATAAAACCCCATTAATTTAATTTTTTGTGTCGAAACGTACTTTAAGAAGAATGCGGTTAACAAAAATAAAATTGTTGAAATTTGGAATATTTCTTAAATCTGGGTCTTATTTTGTTGTCATCTGACATCACATGGTTGTTTTCATTTAACATTTTATAAAATTAAGATTGGTGATTAATTTATTTTTCTCAGTTTAATAATTGATAAAAACGCATGTATAATTTATATTAACATTTAATAGGACTTTCACCGAAGTTTCTCCGAAAAAATCCGACGTCTTATAAAAAAAAACCCTGAAAAGTAAAAGTCAAGGATAAGAGTTGTTGTATATTGGCGCTACCTGTCAATTCTTGGGTTTATTAGGTTCAAACTGGATCGTGATTTGTATCACAATTGAAATAATGCACTTTTGTGCAAACAAGAACAACGAATGTTTTGTTTCTGAAATGCATATGTTTGATTATCAAGAACCTGCATAGGCAGGATTCACAATCGTTTTGTTTCAAATAAATTATTTAAACTTCAGTAACAGACTTTAAACATTTCCGATCTTTTTGATTCCCAGACCGTCTCGCAGAATTATTCAATATTATTTAATTAGTTCGTAAACTCTGGAAGATTTTTGCAATATTGGATGCGTGAGGCTTATACATTAACTCAAACGTAAGTAAAGTGATAAAGCAATTTTCTAGAGTGCATAACATAAATTCGAATTAACAAGCATATTTGTTTGATACAAATCGATGCACTAGGGACCTTAATACCAACTTCCAGATTCTCCTGCCAATTAAGTGTCTCTGTGATCGAGATCGAGATGAGAACTCTTTGATGTGGAAACCACGTTCCGCCCTTAGCTCTACCACAAGATGGCGATACCCGCCCCATTGGAGCTATAATGTTATAATTGCGGTTTTGAGCGTAACATTTATCGTTTTACAGACAACATATAAAATTAGGCCAATGTTACGTTCTATACTATAAAAATCGTTTCAAAATAAAGATGTACAAATTTCTTGTAGTGTTTTCATGAGAAAATCTTCCAGGGTCTCAGAAGCGCCAAAATACACACATTCACAATTGTCAGATTTTTCATTCGCCTATTTGTATATCACATGGGAAAGTCAGTCTACTACCCGTGTAAACGTCAAATAAGAGCGCCCCAATAGTAATCATTACATAATATGTCGTTTGTAATATGTCGTCATTGACAGAAATCCGTTTGTCAGGTATAGAATATAAAAAAGATTTTTAAGGCATCCATCTATGTGTTTAAGAGATAATGGCCCTATTATATTTTTATTATCGAACGACTTAGATATCGGTCATAGTGCATGACAGATAAACGCCCTTTTACTTAGTATACGAAGGCAACAGACTACGCCTCTATTTTCATTAATTGCATGTGATGTAAATGTAACAAAAACATACATTAACTTAGATGTCGGGAGTAGAGAGACCATTCAGCTGCCGCTTTCATGTTTACACCTTTCTGATGCGGACAGTAATTGTACACAGATTGTTATTTTACCACTAGCAGACGTTTATTTTTAATTGCTCTACATGTACATTGTATAGTATTTGAATGGAAGCACTGTCAATTATTAGTTCAAACTTTCTTCAAAGGACGACAAGAATTATTCTTTTTTCCGGCATGTTATTTTCTGATGCACCCTCTAGAAATGTTTCGATCAGTGTTGTGGCGAATCTCCGTGTTTGGAATCAATTGATTTTATTTAATTAAATACAAGGTTTAAATTATTTTATATTCATAAAAATATAAAAATGATATCAAGGCTTTGGTTAAAACGGATTAGTCTGGATACTTAAATTCAATTATAAAAAATGAAAATGTCAGTTATATTTTTCACTGGCTTTGATTCTTTTGAAAGTGTCTTCAATCGTCTTCAGGACAAAGATCACTGCTGTGTTGTCTCTTAGACGCTTTATTGATAAATGTCTTTTGGTACGATCCGGAACGTTGCCATAATCCAGAACTTTTGTCGCAAATTCCCTTTTGCAAAAATAAATGTCATATCGTTTGATTTTATTTTTAGTGTCCTAATTGTCGGTTGTTTATGATCGTATTTCGTTTAATGATTCGTTGTGATAAGCTAGAATTGTTCTTAGGTCGATTTTTTCTTGGAGGTCCGGATACTGTGCAAATAGTTAATTGAATATAAAAATACTAAAAAAAGTGTTAAATTTATAAGACAAATTTTTTTTTTAATGGAGATTTTGTTTGTTCGCAGCGCTATTTTTCCGCCATGTACAGTATATTATGAGGGTCACTGCAGCTGCAGAACTGACCATATGGTCAAAGACGAAACTATCTACATGTACGTGTAACTATATAAAACCATAGCGCTACAGTTCTGCAGCTGAGAGTCAATACCTATCGTACAATGTCCTAACTAGGTCAGTGGGTTAGTATTCCTGTGGCAGAATACGTCAGACTAAAATTATTATTAGTATTGAATTCCATACAATCATATCAGCATATTTAACGAACGAATGCTTCAGTGTATCAAGGCCCTTCCACTCAGTTGCACCGTCTAAGCATTTAAATTTTGCTCCAATTTTTTTCTGCCCCAGAGACTGAACAATATTTATCTTGTGCCGTAGCATATTGTATCTTTTTATTTAGAGCACACCTTTTTTCAAAAAGTCTGGGTAAAATCTGTATTTAAGGCGAAGATATATTTAATTTTGCTTCTTCGAAAGTTTGATATTGAAAGGATAAAATCGGACGTGGACAGATTAAAGGTGTAGACGTCAACCAACTATACCTAAAACTTAAACTTGAAAACTTTTTCCTTATTGAGAACTCAAAATCAAAGACATGTAATTGATAAAATACTAAATAAATCAAATGAGAATATCAAAACAAAAGCAATTAAAAAAAACGATCATAAAGATTTTAACAAGAAATTTTATATTAAGAAAACGTAAATGAATAATAATTGACGATCTGATTTAATTTTTTTAAAACTTACAAATGTAATAAAAAGCCCCCCCCCCCCAAAAAAAAAAACAACAAACAAACAAAAATAAATAAATAAAAAAGATTAATTTCATGCTTATACATTTCACTTGCTCAGGTCCACATCAAAATTGCGGCCGGAAGTTTGACGGACATGGCGGTGAGATCGCCCATTCCTGGAGCGGAAGGAATGTCCATTTTGATGACGAGGAAGATTACAAGTCCATTGACACGATCTCTAAGGACGGGATCTACCTACTGCGCGTGGCGGTGCACGAGATCGGGCACGTGCTGGGACTGGCCCATACCGACAAAGGGTATTCCATTATGTACGCCATTTACCACCAAAACGTGGTGCCGTCAGCAGGATTCGAACTCGGATGGGAGGACCGGAAGTCTGTGCAGAAGATCTATGGTGAGTTAATTTTAAGTCCAATTAGAAGTTCCGGGTACAGTCCTTCCGGATACAGAATACAATAACTTTGTTCTGATGCCTTTTTTGTCAGAACTATAATATATTTACATGTATTTAAGACGATTATTTGAAGAATACAGTCTTACACTTAAGATAAATCTAAATTGTATTTATAGACTATATACCAGACAACCTTTGCAAAAGGCTAATTCTGCCCGTGCTGGATCATTCAATACCGGCTAAATTTCTAGACAGTCAAATAGAAAAATATACATACCTATACAAGAAACAAGTGGTTCTAATCGATAGACTGTATAAAATATGGACAAAGATAATTTAAAAAAAATATCTGAATTTAATTTGAGCTATACAACTGTTTCTAAATCATGTTATGTAATCTCATATAGACGTTGTTTTGATGTGTGTTGTGAACCTAGATCGCTACTCAAAGGGGAGTTATTGGGGAACAAAATAACCAAATTTCTTTAACAAAGTGTTAAACCCAGAAACAGGTGATATCTTCTTTTCTTTAAGAACCCTTTACTTCTAGTTCACTTAGAAGCTTAGCTTTTATCTATTGCTAAGCTTAATGTCGAAGAATTCCATTGACTAGTACCAAGATGCTATCGTTAAGCTGTAGTTCAGCATATCAATGAATGGAATTTACCCCTTTGGCAGATTGTGGTATCTTTCAAGTATATAGGCATGTCACAAGAATGCAGTTGTGATACCTCAATTGAAAACAATAGTTCACTAAAACTGTAACAAGGAACCAAAAAATAGGGGGAAAATAGCGCCACATGTGAGAGCAGATTCAACTTACCGAATTCATCCGCATCGACTTTTAATTCCTCGAATAACTTAAACCAAACTTAGCGGTATAAAAAGACACAGAATAATTAATTTTTTTCTAAATATTATGACAGACGTTTTGGAATGTTTAGATTTGATGAGGCATGTGCTTTTTACAGGTGTTTGTAAGGGACGATTTAATACAATCTTCGACTGGGTACGAAAGAAGCCAGATAGCACTTTTATCTACAATACGTACATCTTCCGAAAGAATCACTACTGGATGTACGAAAATCACGCCAATAGAACCAGATATGGCGACCCCTTATATGTGGCCCAAGAATGGAAAGGAGTTCCGAATTTTGTGGATGGTTATGCGCATGTCTGGTACTACTCCGGAAAACTCATCACCGATTCAGCGTATTTTTTTAAAGGTGTGCATTTCAAAAAGTCTTTACTTAACTATATATTAGCAGTAATCAACATTTTTCAATATTTATGTTCTTTGTAAACTGGGATTGTCTTATTTGAATACTATACGAACTACACTTAAGATATTCTTAACTTACATACTTTAAATTTCAGGCGAACATTATTACAAATACGATAGTGAGAACGACCAGGTATATGACGGATGGCCCCGACTAATTACGGAAGACTTCGGACCGAGGCCAGGAGAAACAGAGGGTATTCCCCCAAATATTGACACTGTGTACTTTGACATGCGAGACAGAAATCTTTACTTCTTCAAAGGCGACATGGTACGTTTGATGATTATAGTCAGTCTGAAAGCTGTGTTCGAACTGTTTTCTTTCTTTCTTGAAGGTTATATTTAACTGTTTATTGATTTATTTTTCTAAATAATTTTTTTGTTTAGGTTTATGTATATGACCCAAAAGGTGAAGATCAAACAAAAGGCTGCTGCGTGCGCAAGCGGAAAATATGGGAGGAATTTCCGCCTGCAGATAAAGAAGATCCGCTGCCCAGCGACTTGGACGCTGTTTACTTCTCATATAACGATAAAAAAGTTTATTTCCTAAAGGATGAGGTTGTTTGGGAAAATATTTTATTCAACCCGAGGCAAAAACAAATAAGAAACTCTGTGAAAAAAATTGGACCTTGGTACCAGAAATGGTATGACGTCTGTGACGTAAGGAAAATGGATGCCCCACCCGACGGAACTGAGAAAACGTAGGACTTAGCTCAAATCTACTCATCGTATGAGTGATTATTTATTTTTACCTACTTTTGCTTAGGAAAGACAAGTCTTGCTTTCTCCCCGTGCGATGAAAACTGAATCTTGCAATTGGATCGTGCTCCGTGTCAGCGCTGAAGTTACTATGCAATGATTTTTGTTCCACTTTATTGTAGGCAGTAATTAAACTTCCCGCAGTCTGATTGGCTAGTAGAGAATATTCCTCTCACTTTGATTGGTTGACGAGGTATATTCTTCGACATGTAACCCGATTATTGATTGGGTATATAGTCCTTAGCCTAACAAGTCCGAGCTCTGATTGGTTGGTAAGGGTATATCCATCAATTCAATATCTTCCCATTAACCATAACCTATAAAAAAGAAAATATTTGCAGGTTTATTTGTCAGCTTGTTTTTTTTAATTAGTATTTTGAAATTTCCTTTCCCCAGTTATATGTATTTCTCGCAAAAAAAAAAGTTGGGCGGGCATTAATTGTGAGATGCATTGGGCTAAATAATGATGAGAAACAACTGAAGCTTGTTTTTGCTCCTGTGGAATGAACTTAAATGCAAAAGACAAGTTTTTGTGAAAAGGACGTGTTCTGTGGTGAAGGAAGAGACGAGATTTTATTGTTCTTGCGCTCTGTTTAGTATCCATGATACTATTGTGATATATTTATTAAAAAGACTACTATTTATGTACAACACATTCCCAAGTTGTTTTAAAACCTCTTCTGTTGTAAATTACATGTAAAAAAAACTCGTTTAAGCAATCATCAGCTGTATATTGTTTAAGAAATCATAGCTTTTGAACTGTGTTTGTAATTATGTGTACTACGTCATCAGTTTTTAGCCCTGGCATCACAGGTCTAAGGACTAATGTACATCAATATAGCTTGCAAAGAGATTTAATGTCTTTACATACATTTTAGATGTATATTTGGAATTGCAATTTTATGCAATCTAAATGAAATCAAAGTTATTTTCAATCAATATTTATTATTTAAGAATATGACATAGGTGTTCCAAATAGGAATCTAACAGGAAGGGCATATGGGGGGTTTGTGATGAAGTTCACAATCATGTTTGATTAATATAGGAATGCAAAATCTTTATTTTTTTTTTATAACAACAGAATATACAACTTTGAGAAGAATAGATTTTAATGAAATTTTTAGAAAATCAAACAAATTTTATTGAAATTTTGTTTTTTAATCAGAAAGTGAACATACGAAGATTTGTAGCAAAACAAAACTCCGTTCTGTGGCTCTGCAATATACATTTCATGCTATATGGCGTCGTTAAAAATCATTACATATCAAATGACGTCATACACATAAATATATGACATCTGCATATGTTGCTTTGTACTATTTATAAAATTGTTTCTTGTAACCTTGACCCAGTTGTTAATTATTGTCCTCGTTGTCTCTTTTTGTTGCAAGATGACCTAATTGTTGTAACCTGTTACTTAACGCCGCCAGATGACGATGACGTCATCTTGGATATTTATGCATAATGTTATGTTTTGAGATTTTAATTTTGGTATATCTTATATTTCACGTGTTTTTAATTTATTATTTTTTGCCATCTTGATATGACTGTTTCCCAGGAGTATGTGCAAAATGTCGATTTACTGGGTTCTTTTGGAAGATATTCATCTTTTGATGGAATTCAGTAAACAGAATGAATGAGAGAAAATGAAAGATGAAAGAGTGTTGGTATTAATTTTGTTAAACACAGATCCTTTTTAAATCAGCTTGATGGATCATTGGTGATATAAAATTTAATACAACAATCTCTACTTGTCTTTTAATGAATTGAAAGTGAAAGTTGAAAGATGGAAATGAATTGAACCTATATAGTGAAAGAAAATACGGTTCTATGTTGTACTAGTAGTTAATTCTACAACTGAGGCGTCAATTCATATAAATGGTATCACAGAAATGTCTTGATTGTTCTGAAAAACAAGACAGCTTACTTAAAATGTAACAAGACAATTATGCGTTTCTCAAGTTTCTAAAATGCAAGTCAAACTCCAATGTCAAGGGATGAAGAAGTTGTTACTCGAAGAAAGGACTTATCTCAGTGAATGAACATGTCAAATATTAAAGCCGGAGCAGTAACCATTAGAGGGTAATTATCAAGGTTAAAGTCTTTTAAATGTGGGTAAAACTGCAAGGTCAAAGAGTCTAATTAAAGGTATCAAGGGGAAGGCCTTCACATAAAAAATACACATGTGAAATATTAAAGCCCTAATACCATGTGTTCGAAAGTTATGGTCAAGATAAAAGTTTTTCAAAACTAGGTCAAACTCTAAGGTCAAGGTCTAAATTGTTAGTATATAAAAGAAGACTATATCACATGGAATACAACTGTGAATAAGATGTGTTTGTGAAACATTTGACCTAATGGTGTGGGACGTAGACTGAAGTGGTACACATTTGTAAGATGTTTTAAGGGTAGCAAAAGTGAAAATACTGCATGAAGACCTTTTGTTTTAAAAAAAGCATTGTGTAATGATTAATTGCATATACACGGTGCAATAGTTATGGCCAATGTTAAAGTTTTTCAAATGTAGGTTGAAGGTCACAGTTGAGGTCACATGATCAAAAAATTTTGTACCAGTGGAAAGGTCTTGTCATAATGAACTCTCATGTCAAATATTAAAACCTTATACCCTTTATGGCAGCGTAGTCACAAATAAAAGTTCCAGAAATTCTTTGACAAGCAAAAAAAAAAAAAAAAAAAAATTAAAAGTGGGGGGGGGAAAATCCCGAAAAAAATTGACCAACAAAAAAAAAAAAAAAAAAAAAAAATTCCCCACTCGAAAATCCTACAGACTTTTTTTTCAAAGGCAAATTATTTCCAATTTCAATACACAATTTTATTATACAACTATGTTTTACTATTATTTCATATATTGTTTTATAAAAAGTTATGTTTAAGGTTAAAACTTTTTAAAGTGACAAAAGCAATACCCTAGTACTAATTGTTTTAAAGTTATGTTGAAGGTTAAAAATTTAAGTGGATCAAAAATATTATGGCCATGGAAAGACATTTTCACAAATAAATACACATGTGAAGTACGAAAGCCTTAGCACCAAGTGATAAATATTATGACATAGGTTTGAGCTTGGTAAATTCTTGCAAAATCCAAGAGTAAAAATTGCAAGGTCAATGTCAAATATGTAGAAACCCAAAGAAAGGTTTTTTACAAGGAATATAGAGAAATGAAATAATATAAGAGCCATAGGTCCAACCAATCAAACATTAATTACAAACAAACAGACAGACGGACGGACAGGGCAAAACCTATTAACCCTCGAATATTTGATTATGGGGGCATAAAAACAAAACTTCATAATACGCTTTAACGTCCCCTCTTGAAAGTGCATGATCCAGAGGCATTATACTTCCCAATCTTTTCTTGGTGATATTTTTAAACATTCCAAACATTAATGAAAAGGGGAAAAACCTATTTTCCACATAAAAAGACCATTTGGCTACTAGGTAAAGAATCAAAGGCAAGGACGAAAAAGATTAAAATGCTAAAGTTTTTCATACTTATTGTTAGGAAATCAAACACTGAATTGTCTACGGATTTTTCCGTTATTTCCCGATCATGACAAGGAGTAGACGGCGGGTATGACCGGTCGTCAGGGGATGCTAACTTTCCATGGCATCTAATCCGGTCTTTGATGTTTTAGTGGTCTGTGTTTACACTGCTCCTACATTGTGTTGGGTACCAACATATTTGATTTGCTTTTGAGAAAATTTAACCTTAGCTATGTTGCCAAACGGGGACACCAGTGTTTTAAAAACACATCTTGTTTATTAATAAAAATGGTACTCGTTAATTTACTTGCCTTGCCATTGGTCAGTTGCAAAATTAATTTATTTTGTCATAAAACACTCATATTGTAGATACAAGTACTCTGAAGAGATATTTTAATAGAAAAAATTGTTTGTGCTTCTGATTGACATTATCTTTGTAATATTTTAGACCAAATATGTCAAAATTCCAATGGGTACCAACTGTGCACCGTCATAAGCAAATCTTTTGCATGTAAAACATAATTTATTTAAAATCATGTTCATGAGAAGAAAAAAAGACTTGCTTTATACGAATTTGTTTCGCATTCTCTCATTGGTCCTTGAAAACCAACAAAAAAGATCGACAGCATCACAAAAGGATCGAAACTAAAACATATTGAATCTCCTCTTTGGCTAACAGGACTCGAAACTAGGAAGAAATTCAATGAAATTAAAAACATAAAAGATATGAAGGCATTGAATACTCAGTTTATTTAGACATAGTTCCCATTTATTACTGTAAGTATGTTTAGTGGGATGTGTCCTAATTCATGACCTTGAATTTTGGTAAGAGTTATCTCCCCTTTTTTAATTAATAAAAAAAAAATCAATAAAAAAAATTTAGCTGGTAAAAAATTGTTTTCAATTATCATTCTATTTTTAATATTTCAATGCATCTTTTCACCACAGGATTTATTGATATTCAAGTTATTTGAATTTTTATTTTGAAAAAAACACTTTTCTCCATAGACTTCAATGCAATCTTTGTTAATTAATTACTCCTTAATTAATGAACTTTTTGAAAATTTCTCGTGGGCAATCCTTTTCCACTATAAAATGCTTTAATATAATATCAGAATATTGTGTACTTGACGGACATTTAAGGGTAGAGAATTTTGTCCCATTAGGGATTGAAATCCTTAAGACAACTAAAACATGGGTTTGCATGGGACATAATTTATTGCTATTGGAAATGTTTTACACACGTTGAAAATACTCTTTGAAGCGAAACACTTGTTAACAAGAGTTTGTTTTTGTTGCCCCCGCAAAGTTTTTTCTAGTTTTTGCCCTGTCCGTCCGTCTGTCTAGCTGTTTGTTTGTCTTTAACCTTGCCAATCAATAACTTTTGACGGGTGGGACTATGGCTTTCATATTTCACATGTGTTTTCCTTAAGACAACACCTTTCTTTTGGTAACACCAAATTTGACCTCTTGACCTTGACCTTGGGAGTTTTGACACACTTTTACACTAAAATTCCAAACTTTTACTTTGGCCATAACTTGAACAGTTGGTGCTAAGACTTTCATACTTCACATATATATTATGTGTGACAAAACCTTCCATTGGATTTCAACAATTTTGACCTTTTGACCTTGACCTTGGAGATTGACCTAAATTGTTGATAACTTTAACCTTCCCAATAACTTTTCACATGTTTTTAAACAACAGCTTTGTATATTAACTTTTAAAAATTTATGCCATAACTTTTGAAAGGTAAGGGGTAGGGCTTTCAAGCTTCATATATGTAATTCTTGTGACAAGACCTTCACTGGATACCAACAACTTTGACCCTTTGAGGTTATTTGATATGAAGGAATAAGGTCAACTTTTAAAAAAATTTTAAAGGAACAAAATAAATTCAATATCATTTGTATTTCCATTACAATGTTTGATTTAAAACGAAATAAAGGTTTTAATTTCAAACACAAGTAGTATTTTATATAAACATTTATTGACAATCTTTGAAACTTAACAAAAAATGAAAATGAAAGAAGCAAGGGCGAAGATTTGAAAAAGACAATTTTGTTGCAGAAGTCTGTGGTTATTGCAACAAATTTAAGGAAACAAAATAAACCCAAAACCTTCCATACAAATAAAAGGAAATAAAAGTCTGAGAAAGCTTTCTTTACTAAGAAAGAAGCAAGGGTGAAGATTTGAAAAAAAAATTGTTGCAGAAGTTGTTGATCAAATTTAAGGAAACTGGCAATTGAATTAAATTATTTGTAAATATGTCATAAAAATAGTCATGTATATATCAGATATATGATTTCAGAGGAACGACAGCACAGTCAAAAATATTTTTCATGTAATAGCAAACATAAGACAGAACCCAAGGTTAAAACAATTTCATGAACGACTTCACAGATCGCAAGAGGGTTGTAAAAACCACTTGTAGTGTGGACGGAAAAATGAAGAGGCCTAAAACGAAACCTGCAAGTAATTTATTTTGTTTATTGATAGCCGGGGGAATATCTGTTTTACAACCAAATCATGCTTCTGAATGAAAACCAAGCACGACTTGTGAATGTCCGCCTTATTTACAGAAAGTTATTCACGGTGCGTCAAATACGGAAGCAGACTGTTTTGACGAAGAAAAGATTTAGTGTTTAACCCTGAGGGTATATTTGATATGTAACACAGTACAAAACATAAAGGCGATTTTTTCACGCTAATTGTGTATCCTTTATAATTCCTCTTATCTGGTTTTTCGCCTCTAACACAAGCGTTCTAATATTACACATTGTCCATGTCATTTCGGATCATTACGGAGTCTGTTACCGATTCTGTTGTTTACTTTTGACCTTCATCTTCCGTTCAAATATGATCACCTTAATAATTGTGCTTAACACAAATTTAAAACGTAGAAATCAGCCCTTATGGTGTAAAATTACTTTCTTTTCCCCCTTTTTTCGTTACCTTCAAATTAAAGTAATTATTTAGGCAATAAAGCGGTCGCTTTATATGTTTCCTCCAAGACTACACATAAAGAATATGATTACTATAAAGTGGTATTTTCAAATTGATTTGCGTTGGTGGACTAGATTTACTGGTTTTGTAGGCAGTTTTCATAAATCATGACATAAGATTTTATTCACAAGGGTAAAATTGGTAACTTTTGCAAGGCACTGTATGAAATAGCAAATTTAGTTTGAAGCCGTTTTTTTTATTTATAATGAAAAATATTTTTATTTAAAATGATA